AAATATGTATAATATTTACAGGATGGTTCATTTTGCATGCCTATTAATTATCTTTTTTATCATTTAATTGTGAATCAATGTAAATTAAAATTTTTTAAATATTTACTTACATCTTGTCATTCAAAGAGTGTCTTTTGATGGTGTATCTACAAACATATTTTTATCAAATGAGAACTACATTTTTACCGAAAATTAACAAATGATTATTTTTGAAAATGTTGATGTTTTGAGTAATTAAATTGCGAACACATCTCTAAAAGAAGAATATTCATTATGTAATCCATAATAATAGATTAAGAAGATAAATATAAAATATTTATAGAATACTTAATTCTTGCACTTAAAAGTAAAATTAACCAGAACTCAAAACATTCGTAAAATACTAAAATTATTAAAATTTCAAACATCAGACCCATATACACCAAATGGATTTTACTAAAAACATCTGAATCTATCTTTAAACATCTAGTTTAAACTGAAACCCTTTTAGCCATAAAATATTCATAAGTGATAAATCTTTTAGTATGTGTTTTAGTAGTTAGTTAATTTTTTAATAATGATTATTGACAAACAAAATATTATAGTGTAATTTTGTTAGTGAAATAAATTGTTTTTAATTTACAAGTTAGGTTATATATATGTCACGGGTAATGTTAACATTCGGATAATGTCGACATTATCCGGCTAATGTCGACATTAGCCATATGTTAACATTAACCGGTTAATATGACATTAGCCAAGGACTTATGGATAATGTCTTAACAACTATAAAATTGTATCATGCATGATAGGAAATCATTTTAAATTATTAGCAATATTAAATATATTTTAGATACAATTAACCATATGCAAAAAAAAAAAGATACAATAATTACTAATTACCATAAAATACATAATACGAGTATAATTTAAATGAGCTTATTTTTCATTTTTAATAACCTAATCTACTAATAATACAATATTAAATTTTATTTTATATTTTAAGATTTTTTTTTAAATAGTATTTAAGAATAGAATGAATGTGTTATTATTTATTATTACATGGCATACTTCCATGACATTTTGAATTACACAAAATATTAGATGATTTACACTTACAACGATTGGTATCACATTTACCTTTGCATGAACACCTTTTGTATCCTTGACCACCACTACCGTCTGATATTAGACCAGCAATTTCCCTCAATGATTTTTCTATAGGTACCACCTCATCAAGCGGTATTAATGATATCGGACAAACACCAAACTGGTTTCTGGTATATAACTGTGGCAAAGTACCATATTTATTACCAAGTTTATAATATTGTTCGTCCTCAATAGCCACAACTGCAAATAAAATATTTCTTGGGTCTGCTCGTCCTCTGTCGACATCGGGTAAAGTGACTCTCACACTATCTCCGACGTTAGCTGGGGGAAACTTATGGATAGACCTAAATTTCATTTTTTCAGCTTGATTTATCAAACAAATTTCAGAATTTTTTCTATTATTATCGATTGATTTCTGTAAAAAAAATAGTTATTATATTATATTTAGTTATTTAGAAAAATATAGGCAATTTCAAATTTTCAAATATCAATATCATACCTGTCTTATAGATATTAAGTCACATAATCCTTCGTCCTTTGATGCTTCCGAACAACAATTTTCATTCACCACTTGAATATTATTTTTTGCATTTACATTTTCTTCTACATTGATATTGTTTAAAAATATTTCTAGATCATCTTCAGTATTTATTTTATCAACGGATTCGCTAGGAAAATGTGTAGTCAAACCAACTCTCATATCTGTTCCAAACATTGCCTCGTACGGTGACCTACAAGTATTTCGATAATATATTAATAATACAATTTTATTATATGAAAATTTGACAAAATAAAAAAAATGATAAATATCTAAATATTAATTTTAAACTACCTTTGAATACCAGAATGAAGCGCTTTATTCTTCATTAACTGCACAAATCTCAAACCTTCTTTCCATGATTTTACGCTATTAGTTTGCATCCAAGTGATCAACATATTTTGTATATCTTGATTAGCTCTTTCCACGCTACCTTGACTTTGGCTATGGCGCGGTTTACCGTGCACGATTTTTAGCGTAGGCCACATAATTTTTAAGTCGTTTATAATTTTATTGACAAATTCTCGCCCATTGTCGGATTGTAAAATTACTGGTGCTCCAAAAATACAAAATATATCCAAAATATTGTTCGCTACTTCTTCGGCCGTTTTCGACTTTAAAGCCCGTAACTGAACAAATTTTGTTAAATGGTCTTGGTAAACCATAATAAATCGAAATTCACCATCGGCCTGCGATTGCATGTCAATAAGATCCACCTGGCAACGACTATTCATTTCTGAATGAATAATTGGTTTAACTACAAGGCCTTTTCGTTTAGATGACAGTTTTGTTTGACAAGGTCCGCAAAATTTTAAGTACATAAGTACAACTTCTTGAGTACAATTTTTGTATTTTTTTTTTATTTCTGCCATCATTCGATACTTACCACCATGACCAATATTAAGATGTATTTCATTTAGTATATCATATAATTCATTATTTTTTACGTAATAAAGTAAATTAGTACTACCTTTTTCGACGGGTGCTATAAGTTTTTCTTCTCCTCCGATATTAATAATTTCAAATTTATTTAAACGACGAGATTTATGGTTGCCTTTCAATTCATTTATTATATTTAAATATTTTTCATCTGATAAATAAGATGAATTATCTTCTCTTTTTTCAGACAACAATTTCTCAAATAAATTATAAAATTCCGTTTTTGTTTCCATTTTATTTAAAATTAAAATTAAAACACTTAACACTGTACTGGAAACTGTCACGCGTGAAAACTGAAACAGACTAACATCAGATCGAAGCGCGACGTCTCATAGGTATAAAAATAGGGATTAAGATAACATTATCCAAAATTGACTGGCTAAGGTTAACATTATCCGGATAATGTTGATATTTCAAGTTTATAAACGAAAAATTACACATTAGCCAACATGGATGGCTAATTTCGACATTAGCCGGATAATGTCGACATTATCCGAATGTTAACATTACCCGTAACATATATATCAAAATGTAAATTTAAAATTTTAAAAGTAATTTTAATCATAGTTATATTTTATTAGTAGATAAGTAGATTGTTTAAATAATATCTAAAAAATATTCTATAAATTGAATCACCCAGTTTTCAATTATTTAGTCTTGCCTGGGACTACTTAACAGTCATATACATTCAATGACGATTATTTTGGGCACCCAAATGTTTGTTTAATTATTTTTATTCCAGTATTTTAATATTTTAACACACTTAAAATCAGGAACGTTAATAAATACAAAGGCCTAATATTAAGTTATTAATTATTATTATAAATACTTCGATAAATTTTACAAATTATAAAATAAAATATTAATATATATTAATTATTGCTTACCTACTACGTATTATTGCTCTAGTTAATAAAACGTAATAACTCAATACTTAAACATAATATTAAAATTTTCAAAAAAAACATTTGCATTTGCTGCAAGACACTCTTAGAGAATATCATTAGAAATTTAAGGATTTAAAAATGTAATCTATACTTCAAAACTCTAAAAATTCATGATTTAAAAATATAAATTGAGAATGAATACATACACTTTGTGAATCACTCTATATCTATATATACAGGACCGTCCCGAATAACAATTCATGGGGAGGTAGGGGGTAGGCCTATTAATTTGCCGACTCAAAAAATTGTACAATAACATTTAATAAATATATTTATCTTAGGAAAAGTATAACTATCATAAATTCATAAATAGGAGGAAGATTAAATTGTAAAACTATATTATTCATATCTCAAAAAATAATATTTGATCATTTAACAGCTAAAAATTCCATACATTCTGATTAATTTTAAAATACCTTTGCTGGAAGATCGTCTAAATTAATAAAACTTTTTTCTAGAGATCTCTGAATATTTTGAATTTAATAATCGAGAATATGAAAAAATGTATGAGTTCATGCGATACATCTACTTACATTGTAAATATTAATACAATACCTACCTATATTAATTGTTAATAACATACTAACAGTTGGTATTATTTATTTTGAGTACCAATATTTTTACTTACTAGTTTTGAAATTGATTTCTAAGCTTCAACTAGGTTTTTAGCAGCACCAAAATGTTAAGCCCCGACTTTTGTACCATTATGAATGTTTTTTTCGTGTTTAATTTAATTTAATGCGTTTAGGTTTGCCGAAATATTTTTCATTTTTATTGTTGATATTCATGATTATTAAAGAGTATAAATATGCAAATAATAAATATGATATAAACAAAAAAAACGAAAACGAAAAAAAATAATCTCGTACCTAACGTTAAAATTGTAGAGAAGAGTTCATGTTATTCATGTCTAGAAGCTACAAACGATGTTACCTCTTACCATAGACGAATAGTCGAATAGACAACAAGAGATTGCGACGATAATAAATTAATATTGTATAATACTAAGAATAATTCAACATGGTTTTACAGTTGTGTTGATAGTAGATAAATTCGTCTATTTTTAGAATTCGGTGTATTCTAATAATTTGTCGTCGTTGTTTTATACAGATATAAAATATACATGAAAATATTTCTTGAAAATAATAAAAATACTACCTATTAGAATTCTGATGATACCGAATTGCCAACCTCAGATATCAAATTTGCCGACTAAATATTGAATAATCACGATTGAAGGGTGATTAGATACCCCCCTCCATGCCACCCCAAAGAACGGCCCTGTATACAATATGTGTATTGTGTATACATATGTATATATGTATTATATTATTGTGATTTTATATCATGACGATAATAATATTATTGTGACTAGGACGAGCGCGTTGATCGGTGGAGAAAAATCGGCGGCACAGAAGGGGCGTGTTGGTGCAATCGCGGAGAGTGGCACTAGTATCGTACGTTCAGCGAGCGATAGTTCGGCGGCCGCGAATCAACAGTCGGCCGGAGAAAGAACACGATCTAACGTCGATAACGGACAGTCGGACGGGACGCGCATGTGACCACAACAGAATATCGCGCCGTTTGTTTTTCTTCCTCCGTCGTTGCACGATCGCCAGTCTTTAATTGATCCGTCTCGTGACAACTGATTTGTCGCTCCCGTCATACCACAGGAGCACGATACGATGTACGTTATTTTATTCATCGACGTGATGAAATCGCACTTTAATAAAGGTTAGCACAGTCCGATAAATCTCGCGGCGACCGTTGTCGCGTTTTATATTAGTGCCACTGATCGCCACTGACTATATACACCGCACTGGAGCTGGAAGCAGTCGTCGAGGGGACGTGTCATCGTTGCCAAGCCAGACGCCTACATATAAGTGAGTACTCATTATAGTATTACCATAATAATATTTTAGATACATGAATTTTTTGATTTCGTAAAAAATAATTGGAAGACTTTTCACTTTTGTCGCTGATAGTATTTTCTGACCAATCATTTATCATCTTATTGACTTGTTTTTTATGTAGAATTTATGTAATAACTATCAAGTATAACGTTTTTGATGTATCGATAAATAAAATCATATTATTTAAATTTAAACTTAGACATTCGTTTTTAAATAGTAAACAATTGTATGGATTTGAAAATACAGTCCTCAAGTAATTTGTATAAAAATCATTAAAATAAATTCATTATTGAAGAAAAAAATTGAGCTGAGCATGCTTGAAAAATAAATTTGTATAGGTACTAAAAACCGCGATTATATTTTGCTTGTATTTAATTTGTACAAGCAAATATAATAACCTAACCTAACCCTATTGAATTAATGAATTCCTATTCAGTATAATTTATAATAACCAAGTAAAATATTATTTTTGAAGAAGATAAAATGGTAAACATTTTTAAATTTTGACAAAATAATACAGATCTTAACAAATATAGTTTTTTTATACTTAAATTATACAATGTTAAAAATAAACGAATTAAGATTTATAAATATATTATACAGATAATCCAGCTTAACTTTATATAATTAATAATATGTGTAAGCACAATTTTTTTGATTGTAATTTTTAAAATCGATAAAATGACGATAGTTATAGAATTATTAGGATGTTAAAACCTTATAAAAACAAAAATTTGTTGAAACATAAGTATTAATAAATAAATAAAAAAAAAAGAATTATTAGGATTAAACTTTTAACTTTACATTTATATTAATAGGATTTTGAAAAAATAGCTATTTTTATAAAGTCCAAAAATAATTATTTTTTTTAATCATATGCCTTCATAACTAAGAATATTATGTTTATTATTGATTAATAAAATGTTGGTTGTTACCAACCAAAGATAGTGTATATCATATTTCAAAAATGTATTTTTTTGCGTGACTTACTTTCTTTTGATAACTTAGAATCACATTAAAATTATTATGATTTTATATACGCAAGCCAACAATAAATACATTTTTTTATATTTTTTGAATTTTATAAAATGTTTTTATTTTAAACAAACATATAGAATAAATATACACTAAAATATTGCTAAAAAAACAGACAGAAATTTTTGTATGGTTATGAATGCAATGATAACAAATTATAATACTATTTAGTATTTAGAAAGTAAATTTATTAATTTTTACCATTTTATGATATTAATTTAAACAAAAATCTTATAATAAAAATTATATTCGTATAATGTGGTAGATGTTCTGACTTCGAAAAGATATTACGTAACATTATTCTCATTTAATTGAATTTATAGGAATAGGTACTGGAATATTAATCATTAACTTAAGACTAATGGTTTTAGTTAATCAGTGAAAACAATAGACGAACATTTGAAATAAAATTAAATGATCAGGTATTGTTTTTTAAAACTATCGCACACTTTCACTAAAATCGACGTAAATACAAATAAGGTAAAAAGCCGGCTCACGTTTTGGTTCCTCTGCGATTATAATTTCAAACGATATTAAAGTTTTTACTCATAATATTATAATAATAACTGAAGTATAATTATTATATTTTGAATGGGAATTTTTCACATCGTATTGTGTAATACGAGACGTTAGGCTTGCCGTAATGAATACACAAGTAACTAAGAAATTAAAATAATGTGTTAAGTATGAACAAAAAATAATAATACTAAACAATAGACTTTATGCAATTTCATAATACCCACTGTTATATTTAAAAGAATAATGAAAAGTGAATACACATTAGATCATTATGGTTGTGTGTCTAGCTAGAAAGTTAATAAATCCTCAAGTTATTTACTTACACTACACATGGTGTATTACTTATCATGAAATGCAACTGTTAATGATCAAAATTAATCTAATTTAATTAACGATTAATGCAATGTATATTAGCTTATTGTTTTAATTTTTTATCAGTAAATGTTACCTCTCATCGTTACAATATTAAATTATTATATATGTTCTCCATTGCAACAGTTTCAAACTGTATTTTAATGCTGCGTAGTGGTTATATTACAAATGTGAGTATAGCAATGGCAATGTTAGAAGTAATAAGCAATCCAAGCTAACATTTAAAAAAAATGATAAAATGAGACTAATCAAACTTTTATTGGATACCTAATGGTATATTTACATATAATTAGATACAATTAATATAGCGTGTTTTGTGTCCCAATTTACCATGGAGGATAATCTCTTGTTGTTGAAAATTTAGTGGATACTATCATAAAATAAATAAATAATTTGACAATATAAATAACAAAAAAGACAATACTTATAATAAATACATGAAAACACCGGGAAGTAAAAAGCATAAAATATTAGTAATTATTAATATTTAATAGTTTTATTATTTTGTATTAGATTCATTAAATAGCTTAGTATATTTAGATATATCTAGTTAGATTTTAAAACACGATAGGTCATAATTATATAAAATATTTGATATCGATCATCTAAATTATAAAAAAAAAAAAATTATCATAAAGTCTTGTATAAAGATTAAGAGTAATGAATAATGATAAAATGTGTTAATAATGTAGATCCCAATTATCCTGAAATTAATAAAATATATTAGTTTTTATACACATACATATAAATTCATGTATCAAAATAAAATTTAACAACATTTTCTGTTTAATGAAATATTTTTGAAAATTATAATCAAATTAATACCAAATTTATGTAAATCTATTCAACAAATTTTTCTATTGTAAACATCTTCTTGCTGAGACTTCATGATATGGAAGTTGCACTATGCTACTGTAGGTTTAGAGCAATTCACAAAGTATGCTCAGGGTGAGCATATTTTAATTTAATAATAATTATTTAAATTCTGATTTTTAGAATTTTTAAATAATATTTAAAGACGATTATTTAAGATTTTTAAACTACTTTAAGAATGAGCTATAGCTTATGACGATCCAAATACTGTATTTCAAATAAGAATTACCTTCCTTTTTCACTATAAATTATTTTCTGGATGATTTTTTTGAAAATTTTAATTTATTTAACTCTACATTTTTAACGAGTGGTTTTTCAATTATTAAAATATTTATATTAAGAAAAATTGTTCTTAAAAATGGTTTTACAAAATTATAAAAATATATAATATCGAATTTAGTATACTTCTATTTATTAAACGTTGACCATTTTTATAAATATTTTTTTTTTTTTTTTATTTTATAATTATAAATAATAAAATATAAATATTAAAAATTGATAAATTACTAACATATTTTCATATTATCATACTCCCCATATACCAAATCCATCAAGAATCTATATTATCCTTAGTACCTCTATACCTACACAAAATGAAATGACTCAAAACTACTCGTTTGAATTTGGATTTTAATATGTCAACAATTTTAGAAAAGTTGTCCACTAAATAATAATTGAGATTAGAAAAGGGAGTGTTATTATTTGAAAAACAGAAGTTTGTTGCCTCACAGATTACTTTTGGTACTTAGTACAAATATTTCCAAAATTTATGATCTTTAAATATTATATTAAAAATAAGATTTTGAATAACTATATTTTTGAAGAAGAAAAAGGAGATGGGTATGCTTGGTGAATAAACCTATTTATGTATTTTTTTTAATTAAATAAAATGAATTTAAACTTCAAATAAATTTCTATTTTAATTGTTATGCATTAAAGTAATGTTGTATAAAAATAGATTGTGGACTCGATTACGATAGTGTTTTACAATTCCCATGTCTATGTATAATATAGTTATCAGTAATTTATATGATAATACTTAAACCTAATAGAATATAGATGATCTTCCTAATTAGAATCTTAACGGAAGACCGGAAATCTGAATACGTGATTATTATTTAATAGACAGTATTTATAAGATTACTGAATTCTTGAATACCATAATGAAATCGAATAAAAATATTTTGGTCGTTAAACTCTAGACTGTTTTTTCAAAATTCTTTAATAAACATAACTCATAAGAAATAATAAAAAAAAATAAAAAAACATAATATGAATTAGATAATAATATATTCTATTGTAAATTTATTCACTGATAAATTGGTGTTCATTGCATGGTACATAAAAGTTATAAAATACACGATGTCTGTAATAGGTCGACAAAAAGAAACATTTCGTTTAATTTTGTCTATTAATCAAACAAAGTTTATTGGTGTATAGATATTCATAATATATTGTGTATCAATTAGTATATGGGCTACATAAAAGAAAAATAAGAATTTAAAAAACGATTTGAACTATACAACATAACGGATACATAATTTATTATACAAATGAGTTGTTATAAAAAGCGGCGTATTGATATTTCGACAAAAACTTGGTACGTATGTATTTATTCTTAGACGTCTCTATTATTTACGGTGTGGTAATAACACTATAATACATCAGACTGCCGCATATATACCTACGGGTTATTTCGTTTCTTATAATAATAATAATAATAATAATAATTATAATCTGTTCAAAATCCGGTGACAAGAAGAAAAAAAAATGTAACGTAAAAAGTATTACGTATTATTATGCTATAATGCGTATAAACGTACTTACATATACGTATGTTATTTATGTTTCAAACGATATATAAGAAAATTATTAATGATACATACATAGGTATAACGTTGGGTCTCGCGTAGACCCGACGGAAAATGTTACGTAGCGGATGATAACCGTCTTCAATATTGTCCGGCGTGTATATATAACGGTGAAAGCATTTCGACTGCAATTTACACAAAAAAATACCACCGTCGATAATTTAAATATGTACGTTTACTTACGTATAATAGCGAATACAATACCGAAAAAAGAAGTGCAACCAATTGATATTTGCCAAAGATATCTTTGCGGTTGTTTTATTATTATTATTATTTTTATTTACTATATATAATTTTATT